ACCAGGGGAGGTTTTGACTGGACATTAGGAAGAATTTCTTTCCTGACAGAGTGGTGAGGCATTGGAACAGGCTGCCCAGGGAGGTGGTGGAGTCACCAGCCCTGGAGGGGTTCAAAAAACGTGTGCATGTGGCACTTCAAGACATGGTTTAGTGGTCATGGGAGTGTTGGGTTGATGGTGGGACTTGGTGATGTTTGAGATCTTTTCCAATGTTAATGATTCTGTGACCCATCCACTTGTCCCAGCTGCCTGGACTCTTCCTGAGACCCCCACACCTATTTCAGACTGATTTCCAAGCCTGCAGACACAGCCAAGACCCACTCTGAAGTGACATAGCTTCTGAGGGAGCCCAGGACCACCCACAGCAATGCCTGTGGTATCATCTGCTGTTCAATGAGGGGATCAGCAATCAATTTTACAAATGCCAGGCTGGCTGGGGGGGCAGCAAGGACTGTGGAGTCCATATGCTGTCCAAATAAGTGCCCAGGGGAATTTATGGTCATCTGAAATACCAGTTCCAAGTCATAAGAGTACTGGAGCTCACCTTACCTATTACTTTCCATGCAGATGCATCTTTTTTTGTCTTGACAAGACCTCTCTCAAATAAATAAGCTCATGAGGAGAGAAAAAGGGAAAGAAGCAGCAGCCTGGTCTCAATCAGGGAGTGGAGGAACAGAGGAAAGAAGCAACTCAGAGCTGACAAAAGCATTTCCATCTAGCAAGTGTTACACAACAGGGATATCAGAGAGCAAAATATGGTCATGTAAAGCCCTCAATTAATAAAACATCCAGTGACATTTTATTTGTATCCTTTGAGTTTCTGCTTCTATTTAGCCTGCCTCTTTTTTCCTGCTGTAGGCTGAATCTGGGCTAAGCTGATGCACAATAATTGCAAGCTGAGCTTCAGTTTACAGACTGAGTCAATAATGAGTCAAACTGAAACTCAATAGAAGGAAAAGTATGCAGCCAGGATGAGACTCCAAAGCTCTGGGATGTCTAAGGGATACCACAGCATTTGGGAATCTCAGAATTTCAGTTTGCCCCGTGCAAAGTCTGCTTGTAACCATACTTCATACAGAGTGGGACGTTCTGGGAGCTATTTGTGTTTAATAAATTAGGTTTTGTGGTATTTCATTGAGATTTAGGGAATGTGTTCCCCTTAGCTGTCAGTTCTAAAACCCCCTTTGTGTTGTAACTCAACCCTGCAGACACCAGCCATGGGCCACAGTGTTTACCAGGAGAGCCAGTCCCCTTCTAACTTTGCCTCACCCACACCTAAAATCCACAGAAAATATCATTACAGAATGTATATTACCACTTAAAAAATAATTTTAGCAAGCCAGCTTTTTGAGCTGTTTTCTACTCCTTTGACAGAGGGTCAGATTTTTCATTTTTTAACATGCTGCCAAATTTTTACACCAGCAATTTATACCTCTCACAGAGGAAAGAACAGAGACTTATGCCAACCATATATGCCTCTAAATCCATTCTCCAGCAGAGGACATGACCCAATACACTATAAAAACACAGGGCAGGAATCAATTTTAGGACACTTAGAAAACATTTGGTTTATATCTTGACCTCAGGGATAGTGTTTACTAACAACTGCAGAGCTAGAATTGGAGGAACTTGACTGAAGCCAAGAGCTTCTCTCCACAGCACCAGGCAGAGTGAATAGAGACTGGCAGCAATAAAACCCCTTTCCTAGGCAACAGAGTTAAAGCTACTGAAGGTATTTAGCAAACTTAGAAGGAAAGAAAAGAGGTGGACAAAAGGAAAATGGGATTGAATTAAAATATCCAGTACGCTTGTGAAGTTAAAGCTTTCTAGACTAAAAGGACAACATGGAGGAGAGACTAAAGGAAGAAGCACTGTAAAGATACTTTCAGAGAAAAAGCAATTAATACAATAAATTAAATGCAGTCCTAAAGCTGAACAAGTTTTAGGACTTCTTGAGAAGTATTGAGGAGGAGGAATCCCCTCCCAGGCAGGTCTGAGGAGTATGCCCAGAGTAGCTGCTGTGGGTGATTAGCACCATTGGCTGATTCAAGGCACAGGGAAACATCTTTAAGGAATAAGAGGAAAAAAAAGGGTATGAGGGAAGAGAAACTTTGCCAGATTAAGATCCATGAAGTATAGAACAGCAGCAGAAATTCCCAATTGCTCCAAGTGTTGTTAAAACTGTAATGACACCCTAGAAAGAGCAATTCATAAATGAAAGTCACGTGGACAATCCAACCAACTACATCCTCCAGACAATCCCAAAATTCAGATACCTCCTACACCACATTCCAGACTCAGGGAAGTGTCTGCCCTTGCTACTTCAATGCTGGAAACTGGACCTGACCAAAGTATAGCTGGGGTGGTATTAAAGGAACAGCTCTGAAGTTTACCATGGCAGCTACAAGAGCTACAAATAATTGCTGCTGGGAATTAGAGCAGAATTCTTTGACTTGATGCTAAATTGCCAGGGTTTAATTTTTAAACTCTTACTATGCTACAAACCTTTGCAAGAGGTGCAACACTCACAAGGGGGAAGGAGACAGGAGGGTGCAAACTTTGTCTCAAAAATTTGACCTTCCATTTTCACAACTAAATCCAGGGGATTCTGTCCCCCTCCCCTCAATTAAATCCACCCCTGCTTATGACTAAAATGACTCCTAACCCTGCAGCTTCTGGCTCATCTCACCTTGCAGCACGCTAGCCAAGCTGTTACTCACCAAGGAGGGCACATTTTGAAGTGTTCCATGTCAATATGTTTTTCATTTGGGGGTCACCTTCTTGTTTTCCCAGCCTGCAGAGTGACCCTCCTGGATTGAAAGCAACTTTCTGCATGGAGGAGTAGCTGACACAAACCAAACTGGAGCTTTCCAGTAATGACAGCAGGATAAAGGAGGCCTTTGAAGTTCATGAAGGAGTAGGAAGAGGTGGTAATTTACAAAGCTTGTCAGTATACCCAAGAGCAGGAGGAGAGCAAAGTACCAATTAATAATTCACACTCCTCTGCCACATGTTATCAGCGGATCTCCAAACAGTTTGCAGACACTGATTCAATCTCAGGACATCCCCCTGCAGCAGACAAGCAGGGATGAAGCTCTGCTCCTTCCAGCCAGCATGTCACCCTGGGAGCATTTCATTTAGCTGACCTGTGCCCCCTCTTCCCATAGCTGCTAACTGGAGATAATGACACTATCAGGCAATGGTTCAGAAGCTTAGTGATTTCTAAATCAACAAGGTTTTAGAGAGAAAAATAGCACATGAGGGCAATCTCATATGTCAGACCACACTCAAGTCCACTGAATTAAAGGTACCACACTCAAGATAACACAGCTAGTGGGAATAAAACCCTCTCTTGATTTTATAGTACCCTACAGACTGTCCCTGAGTAACCCAGAGCACTTGAGTTCTAGTTAATGACCAGGATTCTTGGGTACTGTGTTAACAAGAATCTCCCTGTAATTACAGTAATTAGCTCTGCTGTAGAAACAATTGTGAGAAATGAAAAACTGCCCACAACAGCCTCTAATTGTTGATTAACACAATGTAGTCGGTGTGTTTGGAAGCCAGGACAGACATACCCATAGCTGCAAACTCCAGAGGGAACCATCACTGCCATTCAGATGGGAAGCTGAGCACATGATGGTCCTTAATCCTCTCTTTGCAAGACAGGTCCATGAGCATGGGCCACCTACAGATGGCAAATGGCAACTCAGGAAGGCTCTGAGCTGCCCAAGGCAATCACACACACTGCCCACATCCAGCATGTCACTTGGGGAATCTCTCAGTCCCAACCCTCTAGCTCAGACTTTTTTTTTTAATTAAAAAAGCCCACAAACCAATCCTGCTTTTGTGCTAATGAGAGAGAGTTCCTTCTTCCTTGTTTGGGGCTCTTTCATGCCTAGGATCAGGCAGAATTACTGTGCTTAACCCTCTTAATAATCTGACTTTTCCAGAAGAACCAAAGATGAAGACAAAAGTAAGGGCTTCATGAAATACAGCCCTTTTCTTCTCCTCAGCCTGACAGTCACTTCCAAAAGCAGATTGTCATGACAACAAACAACCTGGAGGCAATCCAGCCAATTAATCTGCAGAGGAAGCAGTCATTCCAACCTTGGAAAAGAACACTGCTGCTTTAAGCTTCACAAGCCAACAGCAAATAAAAAAGAAACCCAACAAGGAACCTTACCACCCACATTAATCTCATTAGGCTGCCTGGGGCATGGAGTGAAAAACAACCTTGCCCTGAGCAGAGAGGCAGCAGCAACATACACCCAGTGGTTCCTCACCAGCCTTCTCCTCCCCTGCCCAGGCAGAGGGTGGGGGCAGCCCAGACCCCCCTCTCTGAGGCTCTGATCTGAGGTTCCCAGGCTGTGATGTAGCCCAGCAAGCAGGAGAGTCACCAGGATGAGCCCTGAAGCCCTTGAAGAGCTCAGAGGTGAGGCAGAGGAATGGCACAGAAGGGACTGTCACATAGCATCACTACAAATCCTGTTTTGTTGGCATTGCTGTTGTGTGTTTTCTCTCTCCCTGTGAGCTGTCAAGAACGTTCATCATCATAATAAGCTCAGAATTATTTTTCTCTTCCACAAAGGAGGAAATCATCACTGCAGCTAGATATTAAAGTCATTCTCCTTCAGCTTCCCTAATTTCTTCTTCCTGCACACCCTGCTTTCTCTCTTCACGTGTCCTGCTTCCTACAGACCCAAGCACATGGCATCTCCTCTGCCAACATCCACCGGCTCCCATCTTTTGCCTCCTCTTATCTCTCAGTAGTACCTCAGACATTAAAATGCTGAGCAGCTGATGTCCCATCATTTGTTCACCTCCAATCATTCCTATATACTTCCCATTTTATAAAGTACTAAGTCACTGAAAACAAACCTGGGAAGCACTAGAAGTTGAAAAGCAAACAAGTCAGGTTGTGTTTTGAGATCCTCACAAGACTCGACACACCACTTTCAAACAAAATATGCAGAAGAGATTAAAACCCCTGTGCCTACCTTGAGGGCTTTCACAGCTCTCCTCATCACTGTTGTCTTGACAGTTATTCTGACTGTCACACACGAAGCTTTTGTCAATGCAAAGACCATTTTTACAGTGGAATCGGGCAGTGGAGCAAAGCAAGGGATTTGCTGCTGCAAAAAAAAGAAGAGAAAGTGAGATATTTCCTCAGAAATTCTCTTACCCAAGCAGTGGAATAGCCACTAAGCAAAGCAAGGGATTTGCTGCTGCAAAAAAAAAGAAGAGAAAGTGAGATATTTCCTCAGAAATTCTTACCCAGGCAGGGGAACAGCCACTAAGCAATCAACAAGAGGTCACAGCTCAACAGTTGGTCAATCCAGCTGTTGGTGGGAGTAACTTGGCAATGAAACCAGCCCTGCCTCTCTCACCAGAGAGAGCTGCAGTGTCTCATTCATGCAGGATTCACTATGAGCAGAGAGTTATCCACCCACAGTTGTGACAAGCCTTCTGCTCACTTCCATGGGAGCCCCTGCCACCATCACTCTTCAGTGCTCAGCATTTGCTCACACTGAAGACAGATGGAGGGTAGCATTGCCTACCATAAACATTGCCTCCCATTACCACCAACTCACTTTAATTCAGGTTTCAGATTATGAGCTCACAACCCTGGCTGAGAACTGCCAGGCAGTGTTTTAGTTACCCCTGTGTCTGTCTTTTCCACCTTCCCCATTCTCCTCCCTGTGTTGAGTCACTACAATGGCAACGTGGATATTCCTCAGCCTCTTAGTGTTTGAAAGCAAATAGAGCAAAATTAAAAACAGAGAAAAACCAGAGTAGTGTTTAAGTAAACTCATTTAGGTAAAGCAGCCTTCTCACCCACACCAAACTCAGCAATAAAGATGCTGTAAGATGCTACATCTACTTTCATGTAAAGCTCCAAGCAGTAGAGATGACATCACAGCTCCAATGCATCTCCCTGTCAAGGTTTCCTTGGGATTCATCAGTTTTCCCTTTTCTAATTTCACCTCTTTACTCTTAAGCCATAGCCCAGCCTACACAACTACACAGCCCCTCCTTCAACAGTGTTTGCACCCTTCACATACAGCATGTAGAGCTTGTCTTCCAAAAGAGTCATCACTCAGCTGAGATATGCATAATTTAGCAGTTTTTAATATCTCCTCATAAATCAATCTCTCTGTCCCTTAATAACTTTTGGCACTCCTCTCTGAACTCCTGCCAGATTTTGGTAATGAGGCAACTGAAACAGAATGCATCTTCCCAACTGAAAACCTTAAAAAAAAGCTGTTTAGATGCCCTGCCTGCTTCACAGTGCTTCTCTGCCAAAATAACAAAGGAGATCACAGTCCCCAAATACTAACTGGCTTCCTATTTTTGCTTCTTTACATTACGAGCTGCCTTTAAAGAGTCTTCAAAAAAAAAACCCCAAACATGAAATTTTCAAGTCTGTCAGGAATATAACCTGCAGTTTATAGAACAAACAATCCCAATTTCTCCAGCTCCCCAAAAGTATGTTTATCATGAGTGTGCTACATCTCCCTTGGCCTGAAATTGCTGCACATGGTTGCATGGCACGTTGGTTTTCCAGGTCAGTGTAGGGCCTCCAGTGTTGTTCCTCTGTAAGAGTGACCAGACACTTGGATGTGGGAGGAGACACCAAGTGTGCTTAACTGGCATGGAGAACTGAGATGATCAGCATCAGTTTCCCCATCAGCTGCAAGGTCCCACTGGAGCTACACAGGAGAAGCTCATGGGAAGTTATGTCATTCACCACCAGCTCCATGAGCATCTTCAGTTGAAACCTGCTACTGGTCAGCTCATCAGCTCAAGGATATTCAAAGCATCTCTGTTAAAACTTCTTTCTAGTCTGCTTGTTTAAACATGACCCAAAATAATTTCCTGGGCCTTCAATCCTTCTTCTCTACCTTCACTTGCTCCACAGAGGTGCTGTCTCCCTGCCACAGTCCTCCCAGGGCCCAAACCAGACTCTCCAGCCCAACAACAGATGGCATCTTAACAGCAAACAAGCAAGAAAGGCAAGTCCTCCAAGCAGACAGTGATAGATCATTGTAAAGATGGCCTCTTTTGTTATCTTTGAAAGCTGGTGTCTGCTGTCCTCCTCCTGACCTTTAAATGTCATTAAAAGGGAAAAAACTCAGCGTGCTCCAACAAGAGAATGAGCAACTATTTGCTGCAAGCTTCCACCTACAGACCCACCCTTCTGCCAGCTCCTAATAGCAGCAGAGCTGTTGGATGCTACAAAACCTTCCCCTACAGCTGTGATCTACCCCTGCTGGACCTGGATACAAACAGATCTATGCAGCCACACACGGGGGGGTTCAGCCCAAGTCAAGCACTTCCTCCAGATGACCCTTCTCCTGTGACCTCCCTAGAAGCTGAACAGCTCACACCAGTGCACGTCCCACTTGGAGAACATTCCCCAAAACCTGTTTCACTAAATAACCCTGTATTTGCTTTTTTTGTTGTTTGAGAACATATATAAATGGAGAAACCCAAGTGTGCTGCTGAAATAAGTCGTGTTCTTCAGTGGGAGCAAACAGGCAAATAAAAATGACTCAGTTTTAAGTTATATTGAATATTTGTCTAACTGGAAGTTACATTTGAGTCCAGAGAGCCTGCTCAAAGAAAACACACATCCTAAATCTCCTTTCCAAGTTACAAAGGGGCTTGAAGCATCCCAGAGGCACTCTACAAAACCAGAGTGAGCCGCACCTTAAAAACAACTCAAAATATTCACGTTCGAGGTGAAAAGCTCAAGTGACGTGGCTCCTAGATGACAGGGAGAACATCTGACTCCGAGGCAAGGCTAAGGGATGGCTCCTTTGAGGTGGCCCTGCTGAGTGGAGAGGAGGGGAGTGCCCCCAGGGTGCCACTTACTGCAGTTCTCCTCGTCGCTGCCGTCGGGACAGTCCTCGAAGCCGTTGCAGCGGAAGCGGCCGATGATGCAGTGGATCCCGCTGGCGCAGGGGAAGAAGGTGGCTCCACACTTGGATTTGGCTTTGGCTGGCAACAGATGCAAACAGAAGGGAGAAAAAGTGAGGGAAACCATCTCCAAAGGTTGGAGGTGCTGTTGTAAAGGACGTGGGACTAAGCTGTGCCAGGGGAGGTTTGGATTGGGTGTTAGGAGGAACTGGAGCTGATGGAGCTCAAAAAACGTGTGGATGTGGGACTTTGGGCCATGGTAGGGTTGGGTTGATGGTTGGACTTGATGATGATCTGAGAGATCTTTTCCAACCTTACTGGTTCTATGGCTGATTCAGAGTACCCAAGCTCCCTAGAGCATGCTTTCAACTGCTTCATTTTTTATTTTTTTGGGGAGATTTCACTTGCTTGGGCTGATTTTTTTTTTTCTAATTTGCATGATTTCCAGATTGATTGAAACATCCAAACCTAAAACAAGTCAAATGACTCCTCCAAACAAATTTAAATTGCCCAATGTTTTGGAGTACAAATTAGTAAATTTGACAAGCAGTTACTCCTAACTTTCTCTTGAAGACCCTTGAGAATTTGATCAACTTAGAAGCAGTGGATGAAAAACATTAAAGCAGGGGGTCATACTTTAGAGGAGACAAGAACAACTATCTTGTCTTTGCACAGAAGTCTGTTGTAAATGTCACTGCCCCAGGCAGAAGCCCAGGAGACAGGCATCTAAGCAGGTACCAACCCTCAGTGGCAAAGGTCTAGCAGGACTAGTCCTAGCCCACCCCATCCCCAACCTCTCAGCCTGTAGCTGCATGTCATACTGGGTCTACAAACACTGAAGAGCAGCAGAAGTCTGGGTTTTGCACACCATCAAGCTTGTCTTGCTTGCTCAGAAAAGCCAAACAGTGAAGAAGGCAGAGAGAGATGATCAACACAGCAGCAAGGTCAGAGAATTTGGGATCTGGAGGCAACCTTGGGCAAAGACAGGTAAGGAAACATCTGGAGAATGGAAGGAGGAATACAGAGAGAGCAGACAGCCAAGAGAGGTTGTCTTTGGGAGAAGAAACAACACAGGAGGGCTTCATTGGAGTATTTTTCAGGCTGCAAAAATCAAACTCACACCAGAAAACACTATAACTGCTTTTATTCAGACCCAATTACACAAACTTGGGTGCAAAAGAAACATGAGCTCTATGAACTGCACCTCGTGCTGTACTTCTCTCCATCATCCATTATACAGTTCTTCAGGACAGCAGCTTTCCTAGCACCAGCACAGCTCTTCATGTAACACTAAACACTAACAGCAGCATCCAAATGTGTTTAACAAATGGCTACAGAACCTTGTTAGGAGCTTAAACACTTGACATCTTTTACTTCACTGCACAGCAGCTCTGCACAAGAGAACACTGCCCTCAGCTAGACTGGTGCAGATGCTTCCACCACCATGCTCAAGGCAAGCTACTAGTCAGGTCCTGTGGGGTCACCAGCTTAGAACAAACCCACTCCCAAAGTAAAACAACCCAATTTCATAAGACATGGTGAGATCTTCAAGACCTTTTGAGGAAGTGTTTCCTACCCTTATGTGATGTGTTTACAACACCCAGGTTTGGAGATGAGACAGATCTGGAAATCACAGCAAGTCAGGAATCCTCTCTTCCAAAGTTCAAACCCAAGTGCAGCTGCAGCCAAGCCTTCTTCCATCACTCAGCAAAGCACTTAGGAACTGTCTGACGCCAGAGCTACAGTAACTCTTGCTTGATTTAGTGTCCTCCAGAAGCAAATCCTTGCAGTCCCTCTCTTATGTGTTTTTCTTTATTCTACCAGTAGTTTTTAGTTAGAATTATGAAGTGTAAAACAGGACGTAGCACTGAATTTCACATATTCAGCTACCACTTTTTCTTCTGAAGAGTATCCAAGGTACACTTGTGGAGGGGGAAAAAAAAAAGTGAACCATTCCATGGTAGAAAAACAGGTGATAAATTCCCCTGGAGTAGCTGCCGTGCTTAACACCAGCAGCAACACAAAACCCTCAGCCAAGACACCCCAGCAACTCCACACACAGCTTCAAAGAGCAGCTTGGGTGTTGAGAGCTTGGAGGCAGCCTGAGCTCAGCTAAATAATTCACTAACTACAAGCTCTGAGACAGGACCATAGCTCCCTGGAATGAAAGCAGCAACACACACACACCTCAGCAGCAGAGTCCCAGACCCTCAGGGAAGCAAGGAGTCTCTGCCAGCGTTTGACCAATGCCCAGGAGATGTGAAGAGGTGCCCAGTGCTTCTTGTGTTAATGCTTTTGGTTATTTTTTTTCTGAAAGCTAACATTTTTTGCAACTAAGTGGTGCATTGACACTCCCCAGAGCAAAAGACTGCCTGGAGAGGTGTACTTTGGGCTGGAATAGATAAAAGAGAGAGAAAAGAGAGAGAAAAGAGAGAGAAAAGAGAGAGAAAAGAGAGAGAAAAGAGAGAGAAAAGAGAGAGAAAAGAGAGAGAAAAGAGAGAGAAAAGAGAGAGAAAAGAGAGAGAAAAGAGAGAGAAAAGAGAGAGAAAAGAGAGAGAAAAGAGAGAGAAAAGAGAGAGAAAAGAGAGAGAAAAGAGAGAGAAAAGAGAGAGAAAAGAGAGAGAAAAGAGAGAGAAAAGAGAGAGAAAAGAGAGAGAAAAGAGAGAGAAAAGAGAGAGAAAAGAGAGAGAAAAGAGAGAGAAAAGAGAGAGAAAAGAGAGAGAAAAGAGAGAGAAAAGAGAGAGAAAAGAGAGAGAAAAGAGAGAGAAAAGAGAGAGAAAAGAGAGAGAAAAGAGAGAGAAAAGAGAGAGAAAAGAGAGAGAAAAGAGAGAGAAAAGAGAGAGAAAAGAGAGAGAAAAGAGAAAAGAGAGAGAGAAAAGAGAGAGAGAAAAGAGAGAGAAAAGAGAGAGAAAAGAGAGAGAGAAATTAAATAAGAACAAAGAAATGGAGGGGGAAGGAGGAGGGACAGAGGAGGGATGGAACACAGAACTGTTGTTTTGCTCCTGTTAACATTTCCTGGATGTCACTTCTTCAAGCAGGTTTCCTTCAGTCATTTGGGGCTCTCAATTCAGAGGCTATCATCTTTCTGAACTCCCCTTGGCCACCTCGGAAAATTCTGCCAAATTAAAGCTTTCAAGTTATTTACTTCTAGAATTTCTAATGTAGACTGTCTCTTACTCTTCCAAACAGACTTCAGCCTGAGACTTGCCCAAAGCTGAGCCTCTGGCCCCTGCACTCTCCTGCCCAGAGGTACAAGCAGTGGTGAGTGCTGCAGGAGCTCCACCTCAGGTACATCCCAACAGCCTCAGCTGTCCTGGCCCCAAGCACGTCTGGTGTGCTCTGAACAACCTTCAGCTACCACAGTAAAGCCATGAACAATATCAAACGTGACCACATCTAGAGGATAAAGGTGCTGGAATGACCAGGAACCAAGTAAAATTTCTGGAAAATGCACTTTTTCTTCTGTCCAAAGCAGAAGATAACCTGATACTCCATCAAGAGGGGGGAGAAACCAGTCAGGACAATGATTTCATGGAAGTTATACTTAACTATATAATGTTTAGTTCAATGTTTTATCCCCAGATGTTTTCCTATCTCCTCCTCCTCCTGACACAACAGCCAGAAAACAAGACGACTCTGGTTTAGAATCATGGTTTCTTGAAAGAGCAAATAGTAGCAACCACAGACCAAAACCAAACAAGAAACCAAACACCTTCAAATTATCTCTAGGTTTCCCTTTCACATCATTCATTGCTTTTTAAATTCATTTTAAAACCTGAGGGAAGGAAAAACAAACCCCAAGTGCCATTCTCCACATTTACAACAGGCATTAAATATACACAAACCAACCCCAAATCAGACTTAGATTTCCATTAGACACCCTACAAAGAGAGAAGAGCACCCTGAAGCTGTGTAGTCACACAGCTATGGCTGCTTACCAGGTTCAAGTCTCACTCCCAAACCAAACTCACTTTTCCACAAAATGCATTTCTCATGCAGGAAAAATGAGAACCCAGTGACAGCTCAGTCCAAGCCACAGCTCTGGAGAGCTCCACTGGGAAATTTCTGCTTTACTTTCAATTTGACATCCTTCTTGTCCTCTGCCACAGTCTTCCCAAAGTTTTCAAGCAAGTGTCACTTGGTCGTTGCTCATAAAGTTGTTATGGAAAGCACAAACATTTCTTCCTGAGCAGAAATACACCTTCCCACTGTGCCATGCTCTTTGGAGACACCCCTAACATCAAGGGGCTGTTTTTCTTCAGATCTTGGGCATCTTCACCCCTGGTATTGTACACCAGGATCACAACTCCCAGACTGATCTGCTGCACCATTCACAGCACTCCTCCCACTCCTCCATTCCTCCTCCTACCACATGACTGTTACCAAAAAAGGTTTCTTTCCTCTCCTTTGCTCCTCATTTGTCTTTCTCCTGCACAGGTCTCAACTTTTCAGGCAGCTCTGCACATGAAAAGCTTCACGTTTATTTAACAGCAGCTACTTATTTGGTTCCTTCAGTGACTCCAGCCTTGATAAGCTTTCAAGGGCAGCATCATCTTTACAGTCTCTATCCTCCTGTTACACTTGGCTGAAATGGGCTCAGGGTAATCAAAAATTACCAGGAAATGACAAAAAGAAGTGAAAAAGGACACGGATGGATGTGAATCATCTGACCTTATTTAGCCTTGGTGCTATAAGCAAATAAAGGAAAAGGATGGGAGAAGTTTGTTGTTTTTAAAGGAGTTGACAAATCCTACTGATCCCATGTCTCCAGAACCCAAAAACTACATCACACTGTGGAGGGAAAAGGGTAAGGACTGATGGACACACTTGAAATACAGCAAAAGAAATCACACAGCAACTTAAACAACTGTGTTGAAGGAAAAACTATTGGAATAGCAGATCCAGTCCAGATCCAACTGCAGAAAGATGGCAAGGGCAAAAACTACCCCAAATAAATTGACATTCAACTCATTTGTGAACCTGTGGCAGGAAAGGATCAATCCACTCTATGTGTATTATCTAGTCATGGCAGAAGCAACCTAGAAAATAAATATCCACAGTTGTATGTGCACGTGTGTGAA